TTATTAATCAAGCAATTACCTTTTAAATCAAGTAGTGTAGTAGATGTAGTGCACTATTGCACTATGTCTGTTTGGAATGTTGTAAGTGTTGATGTGTGCGTTGGTGTATTTTACTGTGTTTTGCTGAATGGTGTTGACTTACCTCCTTTTTTTCTGTCCAGGTCCTAAAAGAGTCCCCCCCGGCAACGAGCTCCCCCTTTTAAGGTTCCAGGCTAGACCAAGTGTAAGGGGTAGTGAGGTGTTTTATTAAAACTGACATGGTGTGTGGTTTTAGGGTTTTTATGGATATATATATATATATATATATATATATATATATATATATATATATATATATATATATATATATATATATATATATATAGACAGAGCAGATAAAAGGCGCCTCCAGTGTTGGCAGATTGGGCAGGTGCCCGCCCAGTTGGGCTTCCTTAGACTTTGTCGGGCGGGGAGGGGAAGCCTTAGGCGGGCAGATAATATTTGGGTGACGTTCAACAAGTTTGGGTGGTTTTTGTTTTCACACCGATCAAAGAGATATGCAATAACACAATAACACGAGGAACTTTCTCTCCTGTCCAGTCTTATGGAGGCGCTCCGGCCTGTGAACAAATGAACAGACGTCCTCTGCTTTCAGACTTCCCCAGTGTTCAGCTGTCACACAGATTCAGTTCTGGGCTGTTTGAGTCTCAGGCTCTGTGTGTTTGCAGCTGTTCTTGCAGTAGCCGAGGCTTGAGCAGACCATTGATGATTTTCATTTTTATGTGTGATGAAAACACTGGTCTACATTTTACCAAAGGTTTTACAGAACATGTTTTCTCAATCCTGGTAATGTTTTTTAAAAAGCCAACAGATTACGTTAAAACCTGTTTATTCAAATATTAGGCTAAACTAAACGAATAAATGACTTTTTTTTTGTGTGATAAATGAAAATACTGTTCTACATTTAATATGTTTTATCAATACTGGCTAAGTTTTTAAAAGTCCAACATATGTTTATTCAAAGATTAAACCTTTTCTGTGACAAAACGTTGTTGGGAAGTTTTCTGCTGAAGAGGGCTGGTTTTAGAACGTGACTGAGTGAAAATCACTAAACCCAGTCTGACAAAACTGCATCATTCTGTGTTCTGCTGCTGGAGAGGAAACTGCACTTTGCACTTTTTGCACCTGCACTTTTGCAAACTCTGGAGCATGTCTTCACATCTTGGTGTGTGTTTTTAAACCTTACTCACTGAAGCTCAACCTGCTCACGCTCAGGTTAACATTTAAGGGTTTGGGCATCATGGTTAAGTTTAGGAACAGCTAAGTTTAGGGGTTAGGTTTGATAATCATTCTTGACAAAACTGAGCTATCATTTTTTACAACGAAGAAAATAAAAATTAAATAAATGTTTCACAAAAAATACTCAAATCAATGTCGGTGAATCTCAGTATTTGCTGACATTATCTGCTGATTATGAACGCACTGCAGTGCCTTGCCCAAAAGCACAATCACAGTGTATTTTTTCATGGGTTCTGTCTGTCGTAAATACAAAACAAGTAACAAAAATCAAAGCCATACAATGTTTTTAATTCACTCAAACACAAATGGACATTATAAAAATACAGTAGTCTATGTTCTGACAATATATAAAAAGTCTAAACTCAAAGACGCAAAAAAACAAAAAACAAAACAGTTGTACAGACACAAAATGGAAGCTGGATTTGAAGTGGGAAAAGTTTTCAAAATAAAGCTCACAATTCAGCAATAAAACATATTTCTACTGTACAACACCAAAAAACAAACAGCTATAAGCGAAAAATACAGGCACAGGTTAGTTTGACTTTCAGGAACTTTTTTTTTTCACATTTAAATGGAGTCTTTGTGATTTCAACACGCAGAGAACAGAGAATTTATAGGATTTATTTTATTTACATACACGATTGTTGCTGACAGTGATTGATGGGCACATGTTTTTCAGTTTAGTGTTTAAATATTTATTCTGACACTTTTGAATTGTCTTTTGTTTTATCATTTTAGGAAAGGTAATAAAACTAAACCTTCATATTATGGCTGGAGATTTGACACTTTGCAGCTGACGTCACCAACATTCCCTGGGGGTGTGATCCGAACTGGAAGCACTGCTCTGTCTAAGGTAAAGGTCTCCAACGTTTTCCCTCCTACTTTTACAAAGCGAAAATGCCACAGAGCTGCCTATTTTAGCTGTCGCGAAGAAACTGAGTGAATATAAGAGCCTCGGTGAGGCTTAGACGCTGAACAGTTAGATGCTTAATGTACAGAATCAACCACATCATTTTTGAAACTGTCGTGAACAGGGGTGGGTTAAGATACGTTTTTCTTCTTCCCACTCCTTTTGAGAAATGTGCTTTTCTGTTGTTTATAATATATGAAAAAAACGAATCAATCAATCAGATGATTTAAAACATAAACCATGATTCATTTATCAATGCACAAAATTATACACCTATTTTCCGGACTACTAGGCTCACCTGATTATAAGCCGCATCAACAAAATTTTAACAAAATTTTGAAATTGTACATATATAGGCCACACCTGAATATAAGTGTCCACGTCTTCAAGAACGTTTTCAAGGGTCGTCTGCTTTTATCGCCTCTGAAAGTTTTTGTCGTCTTTTTGCGTTGAGTCAGTTCGTCCCGCTGCCGTCGCCAACGTCTCACCATCGACTCACTGACGCCGAGCTCACGTGCAGCAGTTTACTTCTTCTACAGACACATCAGTCGCCTTTAACTTAAAAGCTGCATCATCGTATTTATTTGTGTTTTCCATAAGGAGGGTGTGTGTATGAAGCGCAAAATAACTGTTCAAATCTTCCTCGCCGCATCACCCCCTTCCCTCCCCGTGCCCTACTGTGCATGTCTCCTGCAGAAAGAGTCTCTGTTCTGTCTGTATCATGTCTTGGAGGATTTCAGCAGATTTCAGACTCTCGTGGGGGCGGGGCTAGTTCTGTCAATCAGGTTTGAGTGGATGTCCGGCTACTGAAGTTTGAGACGTTTCTTATCGTCATTTCCACATACAGGTAAGACGTATCTCCCTCACTAATGTTAATTTAGCAGCATAACTTTTATCACACAGAAATAAACTATTTGAGTGTCCTAACAATATCGCAAGCTCATGTAGCAACAGACAGTGGCGTTTTCTGCACTCAGACTGTGTGTATCCACTGTGTTGCCAAATCATAGATGGTATATATGAATGGACAGTGTGCCAAACAAACGATCCGTCCATATATTCTCTGCATCATTTTATTAGTCGCAGGGTTCAAAGTGTGGGAAAAAAGTAGCATCTTATAGTTCGGAATTTGCAGTAATCAGATTTGACTTATTCAGCACAATACAATAGAGTAGAGTTTCGTTTTACCACAGTCTGAGCAGAAACAGCTGGTTTAGTTGGAACTACAACAGGTGAGATGATTTGTGCTGTTAAATAAATCTCAAACACAGAGTGATGACATTATCTAAATTCTAAACTGGGACACACCCGGGTTGGGATGGTTGGTATGGCTGGTTTCAGATGACATCACAACATTCTATGGGCCAAAATTAGACTACGTTTACACTGAAACTAATCACCATATCACTGTATCGGAAAACGATCTGTGTCCAGACACGTCGTTTCTGTGTCCACAAGTGTTCCCTATCCACACAGCTTTGAGCAGGTTTGTTTACATTTTACAGAAACAAAACTTAAAACCACATGGCTCATTTGCACAAACTGAGCACTCAATAAACAGCTCACTATTGTGCTCCTGATGTGGTTCAGCTTCTGTCGGACTAAATGACATGACTCAGTGGAATATGAGTGTTCTTTCTGTCACAGAGGGGTGTTCTGCTGATGGTGAGTCTGTTCTGTGTTTCTATCACGTTGGAGATGGTTCGTGTTAAACTTTTCAGAGATTATACGTCTGCAGGTCGTACACACAGACTGTATATATGAATGGACAAATATTCTTAGTGTTTTTTTGGTGAAATACTTTGTGGCGCATAAACCTACATCAGGCGTCCACAAATGGATCAGATCTGTACTCAGATGAATTCGTGGGAGCTGGAGGCACTAGTCTCTGGAGCCATTTTCAATCAGATTAGTGTGAACGAACACTGCACCCACAATGAAAACGACTCAAATGTGTACCAGTGTGGACGGGGCCTTAGTGAATACAGATGGGGGCAGCTAAAATCAAAATTGTAAAAATGCAAAATGATGTTGTATTACAGTGAGTTCTTCGGTTTGGTCAATAATACAAAATACCAAGTTCAACATGTGTGCATTTACCTTATAGTTTATGGTAAAGTACAATGTAAGCAAGAGGGAAAACTAGCCCTTGTCCCCATCTGCAAATATAACATCATTCTAACACATTCTAGAATCTAAACACTACCAGTAAATAAAATAGTAAAAAGAGCGTTTAACATTGTGCATTATTGTGTCTGTCATAATCTGAGGAACTTCTGACGCAGCATTTTTTCCTTTATGGTCATTCGCAAACACGGATTTCTGTTTTTTGGCAAAACAAATGACAATTTATGCTCCTCGTTACTGTTGTCGGAGATTAGATTAAGCCCTATTCGCAGGTTGGTATGACCTGTGGACCTTTGGTGATTTGTAATAATTGCGGAGGATGCGTGAGATCTTAATCCTGTACAAATGTGCCATGTCTCTAATCTGTAATGTAAGAATTCTGCTGCAAATTGCTAACTATATATCGCCAAACACAGATGTCTCGTGATAATCTTAGTCCCGTGCGAATCTGCATCTCAGTGTTTGTTGTTGTAATTGCACCTTTTCTATCTCTCTTTTTTTCCGTGTTCTTTTCTCTTTTAATCTCAGTCAATGTCAGTAAAATAGAGTCATTTACGGACTTTGCTTATCCCGTGTGTGTGTGCTGAGAGTAACACAGAGGTGGGGCGGAAGAGTATTTTCCGGGCTATTAGACGCGCTCTTAAGCTTCCAACCCCATCAAACCCCCCCCCCCCCCCCCGCAGAGCGCCCTATACAACAATCCACTCGAGTGTCCCAGCACGACTTCAGTAAACTACAAAGCCGCACCACCCGCATCGCACGCAAACACACACGGAGCAGACAGTGACCGCACAGCGAAACACACCCACAGACACACTCATCACTCCACGCCGACGAGGAACGGAACGGAGGAACGAACCGAAAAAGCGAGTGCAATGTGCCACTTCTAGACACAACTGAACAACTGAGTCACTGCGAACACACCGACAATCCAGCGATCCCAGACAGCACCCTCCCTACACGCCACAACTGAACAAAGCCCAGAGTCACCGTGAACGAACAAACAAACAAAACCACTGACCCATCACACTGTTGTGTTTCCTTTAAAGTCCGGTGCGGTTTATTTGTGAAAAAAGTTCAAAAATAGACCATTTAATGACAGTGCGTCTTATAATCCAGAGCTCCTAGTAGCCCAGAAAATACGGTAATTTGTACTTATCCCATGCAAATAGAGTTTTAGTTTTAAAAATTGTGATAGTCCTGGTTTAGTCTTAGTTTAGACCTGGTTTAGATCAAACTGGTCAAAAATAGGGACACTTGGGACATTTCTTGTAGAAAACTGGGACAAATCAGTGGTTTTGTATAAATCTGCTGGGACAGGGGACACAGGGCTCAAAACTGGGACTGTCCCGAGTAGGGATGGGCATGATAAGTCGATTAATCGATAATTGATCATTAAGAATTTCAACGATTATGTTCATTTTAATCGACAAACTGAATGTAGGTTGCTGTGTGTATCGTGACCAAACAGGTCTGTACATGTGTCTCTACATCAGAAGGAGCGAGACACAAACAGTCGGTCGGTCAGTCTGCAACATGTTTAAGCACAAATGTGTATTTAACGATGATTTGTACAAGAAATTCCACGCTTTCCGTTCCGGTCAGGACAAGTGTGAGTCCATGTGCACATTGTACAAAGCAGCACATATGTTTCTGTGTCCAGTGGGAAAAAGTTTTACCAGGTGAGAGTCACAATGTCGATGACGAGTCCCCACCTCCCTCCCCCCGTACGGTGTCCTGGTTTTGACAAAGGCAAATATGGTCACACTAACCTGTATTCCACTGAGTCATGTCTTTTAATCTGACAGAAATTGAACCACATCAGCGACACAAGAGCTGTAGTTTTATCTTCGCTTAGTTTATGCAAATTAGTGATGCGGTGTTAAGTTTTGTTTCTGTGAGAGTTGAACAAAACTGAATTACACATTATAATGTCAAACGGACTGATGTGGCTCTAGAGTGGTTATAGTTTATATGTCGTAAAGTTGAATTTATTTATGCAGATTAGTGCAGATACTAATAATAATGATGATCATTTTAATATTAAAAACGTTAATGATTTATCGATAATGAATCGTTAATTCTTCCGACGATCGATTAAGAAAATTTCATCGAATGCCCATCCCTAGTCCCAAGTAAATAGGGACGTCTGGTCACTCTAGTCACGCATAAAATGACAGTCAGAAGCCCGCATCAGCCTGCAGTTTTTCACTTAGTCGCTCTCACCTTTTTGCTGAAACAGGACCATGAACGCTCAATTTGATCACAAGCTTCTAAAAATGTGCTGTTTAGATCAATTTTCTATTTTTGGAGGGTTTTCGATTGTTCTTAAACTTTTTGGCTGTGCTCATTGTGTCACCACGACGACTTCTGAACATTTCATCGCAAGAGATACACGTAGAACACCCCCAGCGTGACGTCATTGCAAAGTATCAATCTCAACAGTTCAAACTCCCATTCGAACGTGTTTTCCTCAGCGCTAACCCGGGGGGCACTGCTCTCCCATGACCAGAGTCCAGCCCAGCCACACACACACACAAACACACACGCACACACACTCGTTCACACCGATCTCTCTATGCGTTCAGACTGTACTCCTGTTTGTAGCAGCAGGGGCGGCACACGGCGTTCACCAAACCATTACCGATCTGACACAGACAGATGATGAACTCGAGCACGGACAGACCCAGGAGCACGCACAGCAGGGTCACGTTCCACTCCACGATGTTGGCGGGCTGCGTACACCGGGACCAGCTCTCCGGCTCCAGAAGATACCTGACCAACACGGAACAGAACGAGACTCATCAAGCGGTAAAAATGAGAAGAGATGAAATGTTTTACAGTGAACAAGCCATGACGCTGCAGGACACGGAGGAGGAGGAGGAAGAGGAGGAAGAGGAGGAGGAGGGACACTTTTGGCTCTTCCTCTCCTCAAAATGCCCTGACACAAGATCTGCTCACCCTCCTCCTGACCCGTCATTCTGTCAAACTGCACCCACACCTGCAAATGTTCTGGAATTTTCCTCTGGATCAATCAAGTATCTCTCTTTCTTTCTCTCTCTTTTTCTTTCTCTCTTTCTTTCTGTCTCTTTCTTTCTCTTTCTCTCTCTTTTTCTTTCTCTCTTTTTCTTTCTCTCTTTTTCTTTCTTTCTCTTTCTTTTTCTCTTTTTCTTTCTCTCTCTTTTTCTTTCTCTTTCTCTCTTTTTTTCTTTCTCTTTTTTCTTTCTCTCTTTCTCTTTCTGTCCCTCTCTTTTTCTTTCTCTCTCTTTTTCTTCCACTTTTTCTCTTTTCTTTCTCTCTCTTTTTCTTCAGCTTTGTTGCTCTCTTTTTCTTTCTCTCTCTTTTTCTGTCATTTTCTCTTTCTCTTTTTTCATTCTCCCTTTTTCTTTTCCTCTCTCTTTTTCTCTCTCTTTCCCTTTCTTTCTCTTTTTTGCTCTCTTTTACATTTTGAGCAGAGCAGTGACATATGGATAGAAACAGGCAGGTGACACGGGACCCTCTATGAGAAAAGTGACAGAGTGCACCTTTGAATAAAGCGAGTGTGAGCGTTACCTCCCGGTTTGGTCGTCGAAGGGGTAACTCCAGCCGTACAGGCCAAAGCAGAGGGGCCCCTGGAACAGAGCGAAGCCCGAGATCACGAACGAGTAAGTGGAGCCGAGGAGCCCGATGACAGCAGCCAGCACAGAGCCACACATCTGACACAAAACACACACACTTCAAATCACAAACATGAACACAACATACAGTCAAGAACATTAAAGACTGTATATTATCTGTAAAATAAGAAGAATTGTTGTTGCATTTAATTGACCTCCATTAACTATCTGCTATTCTTAATTATTCTTATTTAAACAACTGTAAATAAAGGTTGAGAAGAAAGAGGATGGCAGAGGCTCTGATTTGCGGTCTATTTATTTTCACGTTTCAACTAATTGCGAGTCTTCATCAGAGTTGACAGAGTGAGCAGCAGCTGTGACTGTTTACAGAGGTCATGACCCCAGACACGTGATTATTAAAAACAAAATATCCATAAACATATACAGGTTGAATCCAAGTATACTGACAACATACTATTCTAACACAACATAAAAACACTGTTCAGTATAGTTTGGAGTATAGTAGTATAGAGTATATAGTAGTAGTATTTCCCTTAGGTTACACAGCACATTTGTTTAAGTTAAGTTAAAAGACAGCACCAGAAATTTTGTAAGACTTTTTTTTTTTAATCAAAATAACCAGATATTTTCAACATGTATATATATATATTATATATATATATAGAGAGAGAGAGAGAGAGAGAGAGAGAGAGATTTTAATAATCACATGTCTGGTGTCATGACCCCCTGCTCAATCTATCAGCCCTGATGGAGACTCACAAGTAATTGAAATGTGTTGGCGTAAGTAAGTTTTTATTTCTATAGTGCTTTTCACAGACATATGTCACAAAGACACTTTACAGAGCATTATAGATTCATTATTCTTCCTCTCCATACCCAGTGGTGATAAACTATTATTCTAGCCACAGCTGCCCTGGGGCATACTGATGAAGTGTGGCTGCCATGCCAATCAGCACCATCTGTCCCTGCAATCACCACCATCACACATGCACACACCAATTGCGTACTAGGCAATGTGGGTGAAGTGTTTTGCCTAAGGACACAATGACAGTTTTTTGCAACTGGTGCCCCCCTGTGGCACCTGATTTTCCCAGTGGTCTCCCATCCAAGTACTAACCAGGCCCGGTCTTGCTGAGCTTCTGAGATCTGACAGGATCAGGCTTTGACAAACCGGTCAAAGCCGGTATAGCATTAACATTAATAAATATACTGCAAATCAGAGCCTCTGCCATCCTCTTTCTTCAAGCCCTCTGCTCTGATGAGCACCTATATGCGAGAGTTTTGATCCAGTGCAGCACTCCAATATCGTCATTTGTTATTGTAAATAAAGGTATTGCAATTAAAACCAGCGCAATCAGAGATAACAACCTGGTCCCCCATGAGGCATCGGTGGGGGCAGTTCATCACCACGGAAGCAGTTTTTGAGGAGTCCAGCCCATACCCCGGTCATGTGTGTGCCAACTTGTGCGATGACTGGGTGAATATTTTAGGCCGCAGATGGTTCAGAAAATGCCGAAATTGACGATCCTTTATAATGGCGTGACTTTTCAATTGACCTGTGTGACCTCAAATGACCTCGGATCGTCACCAATCTTTTTTTTTTTTTGCGGCATCGGGCACGGGGGCTTGACCCACGTACCAAATTTGGTGACAATCAGTCCATAAATGGCAGAATTATTGTGGATGGACACACACACACACACATACAGACACACACAGGGTGAATACAAAACCTGTTCAACCCTTCAGGGACCAGGTAACCAGTTAACAGTGCGTTTGTAAAAAGCCCCATGAATAAGAGATGAAGTGATGCTCCTCAAGGAAATCCTGATGAATACATTTACAGACTGTTTAGGAGTGTCTATAAATCAGAAAATATTTTATTTCTTTATTGAATTAGTTTACTGTTATTTGAAAAAAACATAAGTTGTGATTAATTGAAAAGTTAATGCGTTGGCTTTAATATAAAACACTTCAAGACCTTAAATCTTGTCCAGGACATTATTCCACAGGTGGTGGTGGTGGTGAGCTATTATCATAGCCACAGCTGCCCTGGGACAGACATGAGGCTGCCAGTCTGCACCACCTGCCCCTCTGACCATCACCAAAAGTCACACACACATTGCATTCACATAGGCATGACAGTTTGTGCCACTGCTGCCCCCTTGTGGCACCCGGTATTCCCAACGGTCTGCCTTCTAACAAGAGCCAGCCTGTTTTTTTAGCTTTTGAGATCAAATGAATCTGTGCATTGATGAGCAGACTGTATGACCACAGGTTAACATGTTTTAGCCTGACTACCACATAAAAATAAACTACCAAAACAGCCACTTGTTACCAAAGTGAGGTAGACGAACACTAAAACAAATCATCAAGAAGTCCCCAAACCAGTCGTATAAAACAGGCCTAAAAGAGAGTTTGGGGAAAGTGCAGAGTGAGGCCGAGTGAGACAGAGGCGCACACACAGAGCTCTGCAGCTGGACTCTGAGCTGAGCGAGTGTGACCCAACAAAGAGACGCCTGTTTAAAAAGAGGATTATCATTCTGCTCCAAAACACTGCAGATAATCAGGCTTTACTCTGCTCAACTCAGGGACAGAAGAGCTGAGCCTGCACCCGCTCCACTCATGTTTACATCGTCCAGAGAATTCTATTACACATTTGACTTTTTGGTGGGAGATGCTGCTGTTTCTTGTGGTGACATAAAAAGGCTGATGGGGAGAAAATCAAACCAAAGTTAATGAACCATGTAGCTTGATTTGAGGCTGTGACAGATTTTCCTGAATAGATAAAAACATGTTTGTGGCCTACTATTTTATATAAAAGTATAGTGTAAAGGCCGCCACACACGACAGGATTTTTCAGTCTTAAACTATTTTTAAACATGCGACAAAAAGCGCACACTACAGATACAAGGAGAATCTTATGAGACTTAAATCTCCAATCACAAAGACTGCAGTGGGACATGTCTGCAGACCACAAGATATAAAGTTGTGAGCGTGATCGTGTCAGCTGTTTCCTGTCTACAGTAAAACCACTCACTCTGAGACTCTGAAGTGTTCAAAGATCAGAGCTCTGCACTTTTAGTTTAGATACAAGTCAAAACTGTGTTATTATTATTTGTGAAATGTGGTGCAAAACTTCAGATACATGATTTTTAAAGCATAAAAGATTGGAGATAAAGTCCACAGGAAGTAGAGTCACTGTCACTAATCTGCAGCTTCACCTCGATCCGTGCGCTGTGTGGATGTAAACAGACACATGAGAGGAACTACTCTTACCTTTTTACTTTTAAAGAACACATCAAACTGGATTAGGACACAGGACAGTTTCTATGGATAATGTGGATGAGATGCTGCACTTTAAATTTACCACTTTACGAGAGGTGAGTACTGTATTTTTCAGACTATAAGTTGCACTTTTTTTCATGGTTTGGGTGTTTCCTGCGACTTATACTCTGGTGCGACTTTAATTAAAATGTTCACACTGACAGCAGCGAGAGGCTCTAGTCTTGTGTGTGAGTATCTGCTGCTCCTGTTCCTCCTGTACCACTGTCACTTGGCTCTACTGCACATGTCTCCTGCAGAAAGAGCCTCTGTCCTGTCTGTATCATGTCAGTCGATCGCACCATTACTTCTGTACCACTGAAAATTTAAAATTTAAACAAACTTATGATTACAAGCTGCAAGTTGTGAAATCTGCAGCCAAAAACAGAAATCGAGCAGCAGAAAGAAAGTTTGGAGTGAGAGAGAAACTTGTGACACTGGAAGGATGCACCGTGAAACTTTCCTGAAGTCACTGGATGGATCGACAAAGCCTAAAGCCTATTATTATTACTATTTCTGGTCTCTGATTTTATAAAATTTCCCCCAAAGAGTGTGACTTATAGTCCAGTCAGACTTATATATGTTTTTTTTTTCTTCATTATGCATTTTTTGGCTGGTGTGACTTATACTCCGCCACTTGTAATAAAGTTGCCTCATTATTTTTGCTATTTCCTGAGTTTTTTGTGTTGTGTCTCTGTGTCCATCACTCCTCTGCAGACACATGCACGCACGCACACACACATGCACACACACATAACAAACACACACGAGGAGTGCAGTGGCTTCAAAATCACACACGAAGACACAAAGTCGGATCATGCCTCCCCAAATTCGGGGAGAAGCAAATCGCAGCCAAATCGTGGGCCAATTCTCCTGTAGTGTAGGGCAGCCTTATGTTTATGTCACATTTATATTTAAGATATAATGTATTTACATTTATCATGAAAAACAATAAGGAATCAAACATTTAAAAATCACATTGCATAACATTACAATTATTTGAACACTGAAATCAATTCATGTTTTTGCTTTGCTACTTCTGTTTTCTGTGATTCTCTATTTTATGTTCCATTTTTATGTGGCAGTGAACCAAAGATGGACTTCTATTGTAGTCTATCTATGGGTAAAAATACAACTGTACAACTCACCTTATGTAACAAATAATACTCCCTACAACTGTACTACAACTTACCCTTATGTGATGTGTAATCTACTTTGTCCAAATAATTTCCCTTGTGGATCAATAAAGTTTGTCTAAGTCTAAGTGTAAGTTTGTTGGTATATGATCAATGTTTGTGTCTCTCACCATGAGGCTCTGGTTCCAGCAGCAGTCACATTTCCCCAAAGTGATGAAGACCACAGCGGGCACCATCATCTGTAACACAAACACACACAGGCTGTTAGGATGCTGAACTCTCTCCCCTCTCTACCCACCAGGTGAGTACTCTAGTACTCATGTACTCATGGAATAAAAGCTTTGGTAATATTTTCATAGTGTCGTAGTTCTCAAGACCGGTCTTGGTCTTGAGACTGGCCTGTTTTTTTTTTGTTTGTTTGTTTGTTTTTGCAGTCTTGGTCTCATCTCAGACTCAACCACGTTTGGAGTCGGTCCTGTCTCAGTCTTGAAGGTGTTTGAACTAGGTCTTGTCTCGGTCTCGGGGTCTGACACTCAACAAGTGATAAAATGGAGATAGATTTATAAAAACATTGATATATATGTGCCAGAATCCCTGTAAAATACAAATAAATGTTGAAAATGACAAAGATGGTCTTGATTTGGTCTAAATGAGCTGTGGTCTTGGCTCGGCCTCGACCCTGAGAGGTCTTGGTCTTGTCTCAGTCTCGGGACCCTGTGGTCTCAGACTGGTCTTGGTCTCGATTAGTGCGGTCTTGACTAATGTATTCAAGACATTCAAAGTCACATTACTCCAAAATGAGTCGTAAGAATGTTTAAGGGCCAATGTTAGGCTATTTTAGTCAAGACGGCACCACCTAGTACCTCCCCTCAGTTTCATTTCTCTCTAACGACTAGGTCAGGAATCAGAATACACTAGACGTTTACAAGAACCCCAGAAGTTGTAGACCACACACCGGCCAATCAGCAAAGAGCTGAACCAACCCAGTTTGTGGTAGCAGACTGCATACGCTATCCTCCTTTAGACTTCCTTTCAAATACAAACTTTGCATTTTTTATTGCACCTTTAATTCGCAAGTTCATCTCACAGAAATGATAATGATCGTTGACAGACATGTTCATTCTCTGCTTTGTTTGCTGTTGTGCCGGCAGTCACTTGGACAGCACTGAGCGTTCTGGCACATTACACAAGTCACAACGAATAGCAGCGATTGGTTAAATTTTAAAAAGTACCCACCTATAGTTGAGCAAACTAATCCTAATGCTGCAAGGTCAGACGGTTTCCACGAAGTGAAACCGACTGATGAATCAGGCTAAGGCTATTTTCTGATCTACATTATAATGTCTTTTCCTCATTACAAACAGACCTTGGAGCTTTTATTTCATTCCACATGTTTAACACACAAACCCTGCATATTTAGACTGAGTTCTTCTCTCAAATTGAAAACACTCTTCCACCTTGTGATGTTATGTTGTAATACAGGAAGTGTCATGCAGTTTCACTTGAATCATTTGGATGATTTCAGTTCTGGAACTGTCAATTTCTACTGAACTAACGGTAAAAGGAGATTAACTTGAAAATGACTTCATGAACAGAACATTTTGAGCTTATTTTTTGAGCTGATGTAGACAGACTAATAATAAAGGGTTACTCAAACGTGTGTAAATGAAACAAAACACAACTCCAGATACTATAACACAACTTAAAGCTCACAAGAGTCTATTTTGTGTAATATAAAACCTTTAGGAATAATATTATACATAAACAGTTTGCAGATCAGACAGGGTTAGTCTGTTCTTCCCAAGGTTTACCATGTTTTTAGTTTTTTTTAAGGTTTTTGACAAGGGAGCATTACAAATATGATTAAAAGCTCATAAATAAAGTGGGAGCGAGAGACCAGTGTTTCAGCAACCCCCCAAAGTTTACAGCTCTTTTAAAACTGTCTCTCGCAAAGGAAATGCACAATAAATTAAATCAAACCCAGGGAGGCCAAAGTCTCAAGCAACATCATCGCTTCCTGTGTCAGAAAAACTAAATAAAACTGAAATATATGCCTCAAAACATTTACTCAATTACTATGGAGATAACAAAATCTTATTAGTTTTAGCAATGAACATTTGAATCACCAAGGAGACAAAAAATGTGACCTAAACAGACCCAAATTACAGCAGAAATGTGACAAAGTGAACCTTTAACACTGTGAAATGAATCTTAGTTGTTTTTATTTTTAAAATTGGAATTCAAGTTGAAATTCCAGTCTGAAATAGTTTACAGGAATGTTTCTGGAGGCCGGCCCTGACACAAACTCAAAATGTCCAAAAAAAAGTCAAGGGCAGTGGGTCAAAATGGCCTCCACACATCCTGTCTCTGCTCGTGACATCTGGGGAAGGAGGGAGGACGAAGAGAAGGAGGAGGAGGAGAGGAAAAGAGGAGGATAGAGGGTAAAAAGGAGAGGAAGAGAGGAAATCCAAAGTTTCAGTTGCCAAAGTGCTGCACATATAAAGATAACATTAAAAACAGTAAAAGGTATTTAAAAAAATAACCTCCGTTTAACCTCACCAATCCTAAAACACTAAAGCAGTAAAGTCAGATAAAAGAGCAATAACAAAATAAGATAAAATTTTAAAAAATGTAATAAAAAACACAGAGAGTCACACATCTCACGCGGTGTTAAAAGCTAGAGAATTTTGATGGCCTTTTTTTTGTTTGTTAGCGAAAAACACCAGATCCAATTCTAATAATGACCATTACTCACTGCTTTAAATAACTTTTATTATAAAAGCTCATTCAGAACTCATTTATAGTAGTATGCATTGCTTGTAAAATGGTCAAAAAATCATGTGTAACATTTCATTTAATAACATTTAATCATTTATTCTTGTTATAAGATTCTAACAAGACAAACTAAGTTTTTTTGCAAAGTTATTGTTTGCGCATACTCCAAATTAGATGTTCATTTATGTTACATGATTTCACATTCTTTTTTGTTTGTTTGTTTGTTTGTTTTTTTCCTCCCTCCATTTAACATTGCTCTGCAGCCTGGTTGAGTACACAAAAAATAGGCTAATAAAATTTAAGACCTTTTTGAAAAAAATAAGACTTGGACAACATAATTTAAGACTTTTTAAGGCCTTAATTTAGGAACATGAAATTTAAGACATTTTCAACACTTTGAAGACCCTGCGGCTGCCCTGAATATCAGTCCAGTCTGTGGAGACACTGGTCTGTCTGTCTTTTAAAAACATAAATGTTGATTGTTTTGTGTTGTCACTGTCCTCGTCTGTTTTAAAAAAATGGAACATGTGTTGAGATGAACTGAAAGATGAAATAAAAGATGAACTGAATTGAAATCATACATTTAAAAGAAAGGCATGAGAGTAAAAGTTGTTCTTAAGACGAGACTTAAAAATGAAGCAGGGAGAAATGGGTGAGAAGAAGAGATTAAAAAGAGGAAAACAATAACACTGAATTGGATTAATAGAACTCCTTTTCACCTTTAAACCAGGGGTGTCCAAACTTTTTTTCATCAAGGGCCACATATCTAAACACAGACGAAGCAGTGGGCTGATCGAGGGTCGTAGACTGGTGCTCAGTACAGGGAATAATTGACCCATCAGTCTTTATTTACATTAAGATCCTCAAAACCACACACTAAATATTAAATATTCGCTTTATAAGAGAGATTTTCAAAAACCTTGCAATAAAAAGTAATTTTTTCTTTGATGCAAGGTCATTTGGGTCAATTCTCCTGGAAGCCTGAGGGCCAAGAAAAATTTGTCTGAGGGCCGCATTTGGCCCACGTGACATAGTTTGGACATGCCTGATTTAAACACTTCACAGTGCATTTTTCCCTCCACACTAGGCAGTGAACAACTGTACTATTGTAGCCACAGCTGCCCTGGTCGACTGACAGCAGTGAGGCAGCCAATCTGCACCACCAGTCCCTCTTCACCTCCTCACACATCACATTCAGTCTAATGAAGTGAAGTGTCTTGCCAAAGGACACAACAACAGTTTGCACTAGAGACTGTTTAGCTTCAGATCAAACAGGATTGGGAAATGTCAAAACACAGGAGTGAAAGGACGGAAGAGAGAAGTGAAAGAGGAGAGAAGGGGAGTAAGATGGAGTGAATAAGGGGAAGAGAGGAGGAAAGGAGGGAAGAGAGAATAAGAGGAGGAGGAGTAGGGGTGTCAAATTATCGCGTTAATTGCGATTAATTAATTACAGTCATATTTAGCGCGTTATGTTTTTTAATCGCGTTAATCTCATTTTTAATCTCTAACTTTACTGTTTCTGTATGTGAGTTGCTTTATTATAAAACCTGTTTTTATGTGTTGTTGGGACAACAACACACACACACAAAAAAAACACATTTATAAATTTTTTTATTTCGGTAAAACCCACACAAAACGCACGCAGTAAGAGCGATGTAAACGTCATGTTAACGTTTACGGCGTCAGTCGCACAATGGACGAGGTCGAAGAGCCAGTAGAACAGAGTCAGCAGTGCACAGGTAAAAACGCATTCGTGTCTTGGAAATTATTCTCCCGACGTGAAATATAAAAGAAAATAACAAATATAAAATCGCCTACAACTTAAATGTCACTGGTGAAAACAACCTGCATAGACTCATGATGTCTGCACTACTGTCCTATAGTGACCTGCCACATGAGGGGACACGCACACAAACACACACAAACACACACACAAACACACACAAACACACACCTTCATCATCGTCATTAACCTGAGAACGCACGGACCACGTTTCCTTCCGTAGTTAATGCGCGGAGACCGACGTGCTCCCGTGAGCCGCGTGTGGATCGTGTTTTCTCGCGTACGCTGCGTAAACCGCGCTTCCTCCTGTGAACCTCTAAACCAGAACTAACACCAAGACTAAAACCAGGACTAACCCAGTCCAGGACTAAACCAGGACTAAACCAGGTCTAAACCAGGTCTAAACCAGAACTAACACCAAGACTAAAACCGGGACTAACCCAGTCCAGGACTAAACCAGGTCTAAACCAGGACTAAACCAGAGCTAAAACCAGAACTAAAACCAGGTCTAAACCAGGTCTAAACCAGGACTAAACCAGAGCTAAAACCAGAACTAAAACCAGGTCTAAACCAGGACTAAACCTGGACTAAACCAGGACTAAACCAGAACTAAGACCAGGTCTAAACCAGGACTAAACCTGGACTAAACCAGGACTAAACCAGAACTAAAACCAGAACTAA